AAGAAAAGCCAGAGGGGAACTATAGTGATCCTAAGGCAAATCTTTCATGGGGTTTTCTTGGCATGATTTGTTCTGAGGAGGTTTGCCATTGCCTTTCCCTGAGGCTGAGAACATTTAACTTGGCTAAGGTCACCCAGTGGATTTCATGACTGGCTGGAAATTGAACCCTGGTCTCTAGAGTTGTAGTCCAACACTCAAACCACTATGCCATGCTTAGCCTAAATAAGAGAGTATTAGTGATTAAAAACAACATAAGGCCACATAAACTAAAACCACAACTAAACATAGCAAAATACATAAACACCACTCTTTCAAAAGGCACCACTCTTCCACCTTATATGCCCAAATGAAAATATCTTTGCCAGTGGATGGAAAAACAATAGACTGGGAGCCAACTTGTCTTTCACTGGCATTGTGTTCTAGAATTGTGGGGTGGCCATTAAGTCTTAAAGGAGTCAAATGCAATAAGGTAAGAGAAGGTGGAATTCAGTTCTTTTCTCTGTGCTTTCATGTTGGCATTAAAAGCAGTCTCTCCTATTATAATGTATAGGTAAATGTGCAGGTACCTTTAAAAAAATAAAGTGATGTCCATTTAATTGATCCTCAAACTTTTCTTCTTGTTAGAAGGCAAATGTCACCAAAATGCCAGCCATGGATATGTGCCAAAGATAGAAAGTGGCAAAGGGCCTTTAACCATCTAGAGGCCTCATATTGTGGGCACACAAGGATTTAATGCATATGCATCCTTGTATCTGTAAGGCGTGACCATCCTGTTTTAGAAATACAGCTTAACAGCTCTAATGCCACACTGTGTGGTTTGGTGATGACTCTGAAAAGACAGGAAAGTTACTTTTGAGAAGAATGAATATGCTAAGGCCATGCATAACTGATCAGTGCTATCATTTATGTGTCTGAGATAAATAAATGACAAATAATAAATAAATAAAGACAAATAAAAATGATCTCAGTATCACATTACTGTACATATATTGTTTCTAAAAGAAAATTTACAAGATCTGTATCCCTTAACAAGCATAAGGAACTTTCCAGCTTCCAGATGTTAATGAATAACTTACTCATCATTGGCCAGGCTGGCTAGAATTGATTAAAATTAGAATTCAGCAAAGTCTTGGGGGCCGATTCTCTAGTTCCTCTGTATAGCCTGGATTTCTCTATAGCAGGGCTGTATGTATTCTCACATGCAAGAATAGTTTTTCTACTGAGTGAGAATATGAGAGCTTTTGCCCAGTTTTTTAAATTATGTATTGAAATATAGTAACTTTTTCTGGAAAAAAAAACTTTATGGAAAATATCATTTATGTGTAAAAAAATGTACTTTGTGCAAAATGTACTATTTTATGAAAAAATATTTTTGCACAAAATATTGTGGGTTTTTTGCACAGATGATTTTTTTCCTATTCCACAAAAAAATGAAATACAAAATAAATAAGATTGCTTTCATTTGATCGTTGTCTCCATGGTGTCTCATTATTGTTTCATTATTAAGTACAAGAAAAACTGTGGTTATTCTTTGCATCCCCAACCCGTGCAAATCAGTGCCAGATGGACTGAGTAGTAAGTCATCTTTTGCTTAATGCATAACTGGAATCAGGAATTATTTGGTCAGTGCAACTTGATATGAGTTCAAGTTAAGCTTCAACAGGGGGGAAGATCTTGCATTAGCCACCACACCATAACCGCTACCAAGAAAACCCTTGATAATCATAACTAGCCATGGTAAATAAAACCAAACTGAAATTCCCTTTCTTAACATAAACACTGAATAAGGAAGATGTGGCAAATGCCTGCTGGGTTGAATCATGGCGATGAACATTTATCTTTGAAAGTAAGGACTGGATTTAACTTAGGGGCTATGCAGATGGGCAAAAAGGGGTTCTTTGAGGGTGACTTTCAGGTGTGGCTTTTAGACGATGCATACCTAAAAGTCTCCAAGAAAGTGTCCTCTAGCTGTTGTATGCTGAGAAAAGCCGCTCCAAAAAGGAGCCACTTCTTTCCACTGCTTTGGTGAAGATGCACACCTTCGCATGTGTGTGTGTGTGTCTGTGTCTCTCTCTCTGTGTGTATATATATATATATATATATATATATATATATATATATATATATATATATATATATATATATATATATATATATATATATATATATCCAGCGACACTGATGCACCACAAAATGGCCATAGAAATGCACTGTCGCATGTGCAGTGGAAATTGACTCAGTGATCCAGAGCATGCGCCCTACGATGCAAGCTTTAATTCAAAGCGCCCTATGTTTCCAGGTGTGGATGCACTGATGCAGGTGCACTTGAATATTAGAACCCTAACGCTAACCCTAATTGTAACCCTACGCATGCACCTAGCAACTGTCCTCTGTTATGATAATAAATGCATTCTGTTGGATGGATGATTGCTGTCAGCATGCACAGCAGTTTGCATGAAAGAGGCTTTTGTGACCACTTCTGTGCAGGTGTGCATGTGTGCATAAGACCTGCACACTGCTTCCTGGCATGATTGAGGGGGGGCTCCTGGAGTAATGTTTGTTTGTGTGTCTTATTGACCATATCCCTTGCATGACCACCAGCTGCATGTATCAAGTCTGTCCACACACCTCCCTTGCATGTACGTCTCCCCCCCCCATCCCAATCTGTGTGGGACATGTTTTGTGGAGGATGATGGAGTGTCTTCTCAGTTGACAAACCCATTCCTTTGCCCCAATGGTGGCACAATCAGACAGTGGCACCTGTCTACTGCACCCATTCCTTGGGAGGAAGCAGAAGTCAGCGAATCCTTGTATGATCTGTGGGTGTATGACAGATCCTGTGCAGGTGCACAGGGATGCTGAACTTCAGTCACCTTTGTACACAGAGAGGGATAGACTATACCACCCTATAACAGGTCCTGTGCAGGTGCGCAGTGATGGTTTCCTGCACAGATGTGCAGGTGTGGAGATATGGTCCTGTACATGTGCACATGCATTTGAGAACAGTTAAAGCAGCCACTGCTGGCCCATGCAGTTGTTCTGTCTCCCTTTGCAGCATCCTTGGGGCTGGCAGTGCAGTTGCTTGGGCTTCAATACAGACTCAGAAAAGCTACATTGACTCCCCCCAGTGTGGTTTCTCTGTCCCCATTTAGGGCAATCTCAGGGCAGGCAGTGCGGTTGCTGCAACTTCAGGTCACCTTTTCCTGTCCGTCTGCATAGCCCCTTAGTTTGTTAAATGAAGCATGCTTGGCACAGCCTCAGTTTAGGACTCCTGTCAAGTTGATATATATATTTTTTACTCATGTGCAATTTGCCAAACACTTCTTGTCTTTGCTGAGGAAAATCTGGGCTGAGACTATATGGAAAGGTTGATTATTAATCTGCTTCTGGAGGACAGTTGCTTTTTAGAGGTCTTTGGAAGGTCAATGTAAAGAAAATTGCACTAGTGATTTTTCTAATATTTTTCACCCCAACCTGCGGGCTCAATAATCCTCTGGGGAGACCTAGTAATCATTCTCCTTCACTATATTTTTGCCTTTGGATAAAAATAAGACTTTTAAATGACTAAGCAAGGTTTATACTGACATGCTCTATGAACAAACTGGGAGAATTTAATTGCATAGCCTCGTGTTGTGTTGTATGTTAGTAAGCTGCTAAGGGGAAGATTAATGTTAACTGTTGGGGGCATATGGAATTCTGAGATTTAAAGAAAATGGGGGTCAACCTTTTTAACGCTTTTCAGATTGCCTGTTTGGAAGTCAGATCAAGAAATCAGATGGTTGGAGAAAAATTAATTAGAGCAGTGGTGTGTATATATGAGTATGTCTGTGATTCCCCTTATAATATCAATTATCCCTAGCATAAACTACTGGTATCTCATGTAATTATGGAGTAGAAAATCCTTTCAATATTGTATTGAAATGGCAGTCACTATTTAGTATTTATTGAATAATTTAAACTTTTAGAAGCTGCCTTTTTACTTGCAGAAGCTCTCAAGGCGGCCTGCAATATAAGTGAAAACCATATGTTGTAAAAACAACGAACACAGTATACAGCAATAACCAGCTGACTGTTTTTTCTCTTTTGCTGTTGAGGGCAATGTGAAGCCAAAGATGGAGTGGAACAAAAGAGACAACCATCTAACTGGGGAAAAAATGGTTTCCTGGGTTCTCTAAGGATCAGTTTTAATGAGGAATCACAGAACATGGTCTGATTTGTGTGATGGTGCTGCTGCTGGTGATACAAAATGGTAGGTGTCACTGGATGCCATGCATTTTCCTCCTGAAAATGACCTGTGTGGTGGATCATGGATGATAAATTGCCCATTGTTGG